TTTTTTTTGAAATGATAACTTTGATATTTAATTACAAAATAATGTAAAAACAAGACAATAATGGACAATGTAGTGAATATAATAAATTAATAAATTTGAAGACAAAGAATTTTTGAATGGTAGAAAATAAAGATAATATAACTAATGAAATTATATTTCTTTTAAATTTTTTTATAATGAATAATTTTTTTTAAATAAAGCAGACATCTAATTCTAAATTAATTAAATGCATATATATATTTTTTTGTTTTAACTACTAATTTATTTAATTGAATAAGAGTAATAAAGTATCGTACATATTATACTTTTCATCAACAATAATGAAATCAATGATTTGCCAAGATTTGTGCTACTAATTTCAATTGTTTGTTATGAAGTTTGAAGTATTCAAACTCTCCGAGCTATACTGTACCAAACACCAGTTTCAAACTACAACTGTTCAAGTGTTCAACTGCTAGACCATTGCCATGCGAACAAATTCATTGTTTTGAGATCATAACTTTGCAAATTGATTAGGAAAGATAATTCACCTGAAAATAATATTTGATGCACTATTGAAATTATAATATTAATTAAGGTAGATTTATAAAGGTTAAAATATTAATAATGATTTTTTTTCATTAAAACTTATACAATTAAAAGTAATCATAATATATTTTTTTTTTCATAAAACCAAAATTTATTGCACAGTGACACATACATTGAAAGTGCAAATTTTTCTGAAAGCTATCTAAAGTATCTGTAGCAGTCTCTGTTGTGTGAATACAACAGCTAAATGCATGTACAGAATTCAAGCTAACTAGGATTTTGGAGAATCAGGGAGGGATAAGAAGAGAGAACAGGACAAGGTTATCCATAACTATCCTAATCCAATTACAACACTCTAAACTATTTAGGAATAAGGTTCAAATTGGTTACTGAACATAACACGAAAATGCAATTAGGTCATTGAACGGAAAAAAGTGTAATTAGGCCACTGAACACACAAAAAATGTGCAATTTCACCTGGTAGCAGGTTACTCCCAATTTTAGCAGGTTACCCTCAATTTTAGCATGTTACCTGCTTACGTGGTAGCTGAGTTGGTATTTTTAATAAATTTTTAATAATAATTTTTATAAAAAATAAAAATAAAAACGACTGTATTTTGTTTTTTATTTAATTTTTTTTCCATTTTTAAAATTTATTATTATAATTAATTATTAAAATTTATTAAAAATTCTTTAAAAATTATTAAAAATGCCAACTAAGCTGCCACGTAAGCAGGTAACCTGCTAAAATTGATGGTAACCTGCTATCCGGTGAAATTGCATACGTTTGGAGAGTTCAGTGGCCTAATTGCACGTTTTTGCAGTGTTCAATGACCTAATTGCACTTTTTTTTTTTGTTCAGTGGCCTAATTGCATTTTCAGGTTACGTTCAGTGGCCAATTTGAACCTTATTCCAACTATTTATATATGGCTATAGCACAATGAATCTAGACAATCTTCACATACATTCAAATTCATAATAAACGATTCAAAATGGCAAAATCTTAATCTTCACACTCGAATTCCATCTTGAATTTCATAAACTCACTTTAAACCACTGGAGAAGTAAATCGAGCTAATATGATTTTGGAACTCAACACTAAGAAGTACATTTTTGCCGCACAAGAAATTCAATTCAAACCAAACCCAAAATATTCATGGCATGGATCAAACTTTCATCATGACATTATATTGAAAACAAGTTTTAAGAAAAACTTCTCAGCTACTAGATCAATGTCTTGAATCCTATTATATACTTTTAGTAAGCTTCGTGCACACATCACTATAACCCTAACCCGATTCAAAACAATATCATAATGATAAAGTTAAAATAGCAAACAATATACTCAAAATTATAACGATCGTCTACCTCTCATGTATAATTTATGAACTACTCAGTATTACACGGGGCAATGACAGATAAACGTTTTTTATTTTTTGTCATCATTCAAAAAAAGAATCATAGTCAAATGAAAAATAAAAATAAAATAAAAATCCACGTGGCGCAAAGACAGTGTGTGGAAAAGATGCTAATCCGACATCTCATAAATGGAAGGCAGTGATTGGAGGAAGCCATATCCAAAGGAGGATAAGGTGGCACGCTGTAATTCACTCTAAATCACAGAAACAATGATGGGATTGCATCACTTGAACTTATATTCCACAATTTCTGCCACAAACTCTCATCATCAACTTAATCACTCCGGCGAAGCGATATATGGCTCATGCTATGGCGTCAGTGGGCGGACTTCTTGGATCTTCTAAGGCCGTGTTGGAAGGCAGCCTCCAGATCAGCGGCCCAGCCCGCCTGAGCTCCGCCACCGCCACCGCCAGAGTGGGTTTACCCCGACCCGCCGGAGGGTTGGCCGTTAGAGCCCAGCAAGGTCCCGCCGAGGCAGAAACCAGCCGCCGTGCCCTCTTGGGTGCCGCCGCCGTCGGATTGGCTTCTGGGTCCTTTGTTCAAGCCGTTCTTGCCGAGGCCAGGTCAATCAAGGTCGGACCTCCTCCCCCACCTTCCGGTGGACTCCGTAAGTCTTCATCTCTTATCATCTGTCATTTGTTTAGCATATCATATATATATATATATATACTCAATTTGGTATCAGTCAACCCATAATCCCCTAGTATAGATTAATTTGGTTGATAGTCATTAGATCATTATGAATTGAGGGCAAATTATTAAAGAAAAACTACAAATTTGACATTGCTAAACGTATATTTGGTGACCCGAGACAGGGTAAACCAGCCTAATTTGTCTGCACATGGTAAACCAGTCTAGTTAGTATCAACTTCTTTCTAGTTTGTATCAATTCAAACAAAGAAGGTCAATAGCTTGCTCTGATTAAGAATACATCAAATTGAAGCATGTGCTCCATCTCAACTAAAAGCATATGCTGATAGTTGCATTGCACATTAATGGCTATATGCTCAACACGCCCAAATTGAAGTATATGCTCCATCAGTTAGATTGCAGTTATATGCTCAACACATCAAACTTAGTTAAAAGTCTGACCAAATTGGCTTGGGTTGCACCATCCAACATATATATTTTGTTCAATTTTGTAATATATATGTATGTGGTGGTAATGGCAGCTGGGACATTGAACTCGGATGAAGCAAGAGACCTTGAGAAGCCATTGAAGGACAGGTTCTTTCTGCAACCATTGACACCATCTGAAGCAGCAGCAAGGGCCAAAGAGTCAGCCAAGGACATTATTAGTGTGAAGGAGCTGATTGCCAAGAAGGCATGGCCTTATGTCCAAAATGGCCTCCGTTCAAAGGCAGAATACCTTCGCTTTGATCTCAACACTGTCATCGCTGCTAAATCCAAAGACGAGAAGAAAGCTCTCAAGGAATTGACAGGAAAACTCTTCCAAAACATCAGCGCCGTATGAATGACCCTGTCCTTGTTAATCTTAAAATATCATCTTTCCATTTTACACTTACTGTTTAACTCATTCAGTTTACCGTTGTTTTGATGAACAGCTTGACTATGCGGCAAAGAAGAAGGACAGCTCTAATGCAGAGAAATACTACGCAGAAACTGTGTCAAGTTTGAATGATGTTCTTGCAAAGCTTGGATAGACGACAGCATATATGCATGCATGCATGAATGCTTGCCTTGCCTTGATCGTATATCATCATCACTGTACTAATTAACCGTGTTTTGTAAGATTATATTATTCCATTTAAGTGATGAGTTGAATGCAAGACTACTTTGAACCCAGTTCTGGGAATTGAATCTGACTTAACATGCATGCATGCATTATACAACATCCAATTAAAAGAAAAGAAAAGAAAACATGCCCGTACAGTTAGTTCAATTGGAGAGATTTTGAAAATTTATGATTAATCTGATCAAAGTTGGAAAATTAAATGTATCAGATGAATTGTGTTGAGGAGTGATACAACAGGCTGTAATAATTAATATATGCTTCACTGGTATAGTAGTATATATACACGTGCCATGTTCTTAATAAGGGATTTAATGTTCATTTTATTGTATTTAATTAACAAGAAATGTTACAGTGTGGATCTGGCCTGGCAGGTATCTTTACCTAGCAGTCTGTGTAACATTTTCAATTGCCGACAGAGAGGGTGGACTGGTGGTTAGATATTCAATAAATTTTGGGCCCATCTTCCTTAGCTTCTCTCTTGTCTCTTTCTCCACTCTGAACAGGAAAGAGGAATTGAAGAAATTAACATGCATCTATATATAGAGTATATTATTTATTGAGTTAACATGCATATAAGGATCGGCTGGTTCCTCCCATCTTGATTCTTGAATATCAGATGGGTATGTATACCTATAAATTAGGGTTTGTTTAGAGGGAGCTGATGAGTTAGTTGAACAGTTAATTTGGTAATCAAAAGGTCAATTTTTAAGTTTCATTTTACATAAAAGTTGTCTATTGTCTTTTTTATTTGAGTTAGTCAGTTATATATATATATATATATATATATATAACCGAGTTAGACCACTAAGGCGGGTTTTGGGTTAATTTTACCTCCCAGTAGTCCTTTGCCAATTAGAATTACAAGGCGAACTTTATTCAGAGACGTACATTCATATAGCGATTACGGACTTGTTGGCCATCAATATCCACTATAGATAATTGATAGATTGATGTATCAACTGATGGAGTAATTAAAACTTGCTAATTAGAAGTAGACACTATATCAGCCAACTTGCGGGATTTATTATACCATATAAGCAACTTGATAATTTGAGTTTTAGTATATAATTTTTGTAATTTAACTTAAATTCAAATTCGAATCCAATTACCCCCGAATTCAATCCATACTGTATTGTTTACAGTTTGTTCTTTTCACAGAACACACTACACCATTCTTTACTATATAGTACTTCAATTCGTACTAGCTAGACAGTCACGTTTGTCAACGTAAAAAACAAAACATAATCATTCAGTTAATTACTGACTAATAAGTGAGTAGTAATAAGTATTAATTACTCTCCATCTCCAAAAATTTAATGCTCATTGGACTCGGTGCATGCAAGTTTGAAATAATATATTTTAAGAATTTAAGAGGTTTCCATATACGACGTTTATGGGGTCTTGAATGAAAAGACACACAGGTTTAAGGTACGATATATAGTAATTGTTGTCCTAGTAAAACAAGAATTTCCAGGCTAGCTAGATCAGATGTGTTAGTTGTGCATAGGAGAGGCCGAGGAGGGTACGGTACGGTGGTTACGTTGCGAGCTGAGGATCGGAAGAAATTAAAGATGCCGGCGGTTTGGTTATCTTTGAAGAAATCGTTGCAGTGCAGATCAGAGCCGGCGGAGGTGCATGATCCGAGCTTGGGCGACGACAAGAATCTGAGCAAGAAGATTTCGATTGGTACGAGGAGCTCAAGGAAGACGGCGACGGTTAGGTCTGGGTGTTCGAGGTCCATTGCGAATCTTAGAGATGTGGTGATTCATGGAAGCCGGAGGTACAATAATGGGGAGACGACGCCGTACTTGCAGAGCCCGAGATCTATTGGGAGTAATGAGCTCTTGAATCCGATTACCCACGAGGTGGTTCTCAATAACTCCACCTGTGAACTCAAGATTACGAGCTATTCTTTTCAGGACGGCGGCGGTGGCGCCGCCGGAGCTGGTGGTGGTTGGCCCTTTGTACAGTGTACCCTTAAGCCAGGGACTCCGGGCCCTGGGAGACAGTACAGGAAGCCTGGAGGGGTAGGTGGTAGTAGTCCTACAGTTAAAGGGTCAACTGGTAGCCTTTCAAGAAGAGTAGGGGCTGCAGGATTTAGTGGCATTGTTCCTAGCAGGCCAAAAGCCAGTAATGGCGGCCCAGAATTCTATGGCTTTAAGGAATTGACCTGCCCTAAATGTGGTGAACACTTCTCAAAATGGGATGCTGTTGAATCACACCATCTCTCCAAACATGCAGGTAACATTTTAACAAAATTATATGTTTTTCAACTTTATTTTTTTTATTTTTGTCTATTTTTTAGACCAACAATCACTTCGTTACACATTTGGTCCTACGATTATGTTTTTGGAATGGGGACTAATTGTCTAACAGTAGAAAAAAATAATAGTTAAAGATGTAGGATTCCTATGATTATTGGATTGTTTTCTCATATGATCCTTGATTATTAATTTTTTCATATTTGGTCTCATGACTTTTAAAATCTTACCACATTTCGTCATTAGGCAATAGTCCGGCCTAATTTCTAGGCACTTGATGACAAAATTTAATTTTTAGCTACAAAATATCATAGAAAATGACAATTTTGTAGTTTCAAGATAAGACACTTGCTTATTATGTACTCATGTTCAATTACATAGAGATACAAATTTGGTCATGGTGACCAGAAATTAGACTGGATGACTAAACGTGACAAAGTTTTAAAAGTCTACCTAGAACAAAATGTGGAAATGGTTGGTAGTTTTAGAACCAAAAGTGAAAAAAACTTGTATAGCAACCTTGGAACATCTTTAATTTTGTTACAGTTACACAGCTTGTTGAAGGAGATTCTTCAAGGAACATTGTGGAGATGATCTGCAGAAGTAGCTGGACATCATCAAAGCCAGATAAGAACAACAACAACAACAATGGTAATGGGATGGAGAGGATCTTGAAGGTGCACAACATGCAGAAAACGCTGGCAAGATTCGAGGAGTATCGCGAAACCGTGAAGATCAAAGCCAGCAAACTAGCCAAGAAACACGCGCGCTGTCTGGCCGACGGGAACGAGTTACTAAGGTTCCACGGCACCACAGTGGAGTGCTCCCTGGGCAAGAACAGCTCCTCCAGCCTCTGCAACTCCGAAAAGTGCCAAGTTTGCCAGATTCTGAGGCACGGGTTCAGAGTGAAGAAGGGTGGGGTTGGGGTTTTCACGGCTTCAACAAGCAGGAGAGCGCTTGAAGCCATTGAAATGAAGGGTGGAATGAAGAAAGCTCTGATAGTTTGCAGAGTTATTGCTGGCAGGGTGCATAAGCCGGTGGAGAATTTGCAGGAACTGAGTGGGTTTGATTCGTTAGCTGGTAAATTTGGCCTCCATTCAAGTGTTGAAGAGCTCTTTTTGCTCAATCCTAGAGCTTTGCTCCCTTGCTTTGTGGTAATCTGCAGACCATAAAAGTCATGTGGTTATTGTTACTGCTTCTGTAATTGTAGGAGCCTTTTTGAAATGTGAATGTGAAAAATAGGAATGGGGAATGGGGTTATGGTTTTGACAGTCTTCTTGGTCAAAACAATAACGCCATTACTTTTTTTTTTTTTAAATAAAATTTAATACGACATTCCATGATTGAGTTATTAGCTATAATGATTATATCAGAAAATTATATTTAAAATCCTTAATTTTAACACTAAATTTGTATTACAACATTAATAATCAGCTTTATGGTTTTTCTGTTCATACAACTATATGGTATAAATATAACAGGTGTATTAGGTTTCGTGTTGCCTTATCAGCATGCGGATGTGATTGTATAGTGATATGTTTTATCAGTTATGTGTCTTGGTTTTTAAGAGCAAATGTAAAAGTCGTTGTAGTATAGTGGTGAGTATTTCCGCCTGTCACCCGGGTGACCCGGGTTCGATCCTGGGCAACGGCGATATCTGATGGTCTTTTTATTAAATTTTGTGTTTAACGATGAACGACAATATAGACACAAAAAAGAACTCCGACCTGCCGGATTCGAACCAGCGACCTAAGGATTTCAGCAACTACTACAGTCCTCCGCTCTACCAACTGAGCTAAGATCGGATTAATACTAAGCATTCCAACTGGTTAGTATTTATAAGCATCGATTTTTAATTTTGCAGGTCAGTGAGTCAATTCGGCACTTGCACATATAGAATACTTTTTGCTTTGTATCCTACTTTTTTTTTTTTTTTTTTTTTTTTTTAGATTTTTTTTAAAGAAAATGCATTAATTCAAATAAGAACAAAAGTACATCAATGAGATAGGCCAAAGGAGTATACCTATATTCCTTACAATAAACTATGAGTACAACTTCCCTAACAAGTAATGAACAACTCTATTCGCGGACTATTTAGCAGATACAAAGTTAAATTTAAGAAAATTATTAGCTAGGATTCTAAAACCCATACCTCCTGAGCTCTTAGGTTTGCAGAGATTCTGCCACCTTTTCTATCTAATACCTTTGCCACTTTCAGCATGACCCTTCCACTAGAAGGAATTTAGAGATACTTCCTTACTTTTACAATTTACTCCCTGATGTAACAAACAATAATAAGCTATTTTTATCATGTGAACCTTTAGAAAAGTGTTTACATTAAGAATTTGAAAATGAGAGTAAGAATTCAAAGTAAAAAACGAGAGTCTACATAATATTTTCCTATATCCTTCATCTTTGTTCATTTTTGAGTTACAATCTTTACTTTTGCAACAAATTACACCATACAAGGGAATTCAATCCAAATCCCTATAGATGATTAGCTATTCATGATTGAAATGAAAATAAAATTAAAGAAGCAATTGAAGTAATGAACATTGAATTCAAGATCACAAGGAAAATTAAATGCAAGAATTGAAATGGAAAAACTTAGCTTGATGTTTGAAAATGAAAGAGCAAATATGAGATTTGATGTTCAATTGCAATTACAAAGTGAAATCTTCCTCTAGATCTTCGAAAAGGTGTTCTTAACTCCGCCTTTTGCTCCCATGCTCCGTGCCATGCTTTTGCCTCTCCGTTTTGGATCATTTTTCCTTGATATCTTCCAAAATTATCCTCTCTTCAAGCTCATGCATGCCTAGGCCCAATTTTTACTTCCTACAATCACAAACACATCAAACTAAGCCTTGTTTCACTACATTTACCTAGCATTCAAGTAAAATTAAGCACAAATGAAGCACAATTATGGACATTTCATGTCTTATCACTTCACAAAAAAGGTGGGGCATGCATTGATTTTCAAGTCCCGCAAAATTGGCGGGCTTTAAAGCTCACCCCCTAACTTTTTTATATTAATTTATAATCAAATTTTTTAAAAAATTGAACCTGGTGGGCCAAATAGGTGCCACCCAATATCATTTGTGTGGGTTGGGTTAATGTCTTAATGATGCCGAATGTATTTGTATAGGGATTTGTTTTATAAGTTATGTGTTTAGTTTTTAAGAACAAAAGCAAAAGTCGTTGTTGTATAGTGGTGAGTATTCCCGCCTGTCACGCGGGTGACCCGGGTTCGATCCCCGGCAACGGCGGTTTTTGGTGTTATCATTTTTTATTTTGTGTTTAAGGATGAACGAAAATATAGACAAAAAGAAAATCCGACCTGCCGGATTCGAACCAGCGACCTAAGGATTTCTAACACTCACTACAGTCCTCCGCTCTACCAACTGAGCTAAGGTCGGATGCGTTCAATATGTTCCAACTGGTTTATAGATAGACAACATTTAATGGAAAGTTTCTCTCAAAAATCTACTCCCACTTGTATTCAAATTTGATTAGAGGAAAAAAAATGGATAAACATCATGACCCCCTACTAAATTAAGCAATCAATACATAAAATGTCATAGGGAGTAGAAAATGAGAGTAGAATTACTCTTTTTAATGTGGTGTGTGATTGAGTCAATTTGGCAGCCGCACATATAAGTACTCTCAAGATCTACTATTTCACTTTTATTTCTTGATATGACAAATAATGATAGATTGTTTTCGGCATGTAGGCCTCCATAAAAGTGTTCATATCAAGAATTTGAAAGTGAAAGTAGATGTTAAGAGTAAATTAAAAATGAGAGTCTACATAGTATTTTCCTATATCATTCCTCTTTGTCTATTTTTTTTAATTGCAATCATTATTTTTCGCAACAAATTACACCATGGAGCACTAATAAATTTCATTTTTAGTAGGTTAAAGGTTCATTTTTAATGTAATAAATGCACATGCATTTTATATAGTACACTAAAAATGAACTTTCAAATAATTTACTTGTTCATGAGCAAATAATTATATTATATTATAAAAATGAGCAATCCTAGCCAAGTTAGTCAAACAATTGACTTAATAACCACAATATTTCAGGTTTATTTCTTAGTTTGAGCTGTCTAGCTATTAGCCTTCTGCGAGCAATGTGGATCATGATTTATGGTATAACGATTGTGTTTTTGCACCATGAGCTTTTTTCACTTACAACATGCGTAGATGCTTATATGTTTTTGGTTAGGAAATGGTTTGCTGAGTACGACCCAGTTTAGCAAAAATAACAGAATTTAAAATATTATTTGGAACTTGAACTAAGACCTTATTTATGAAATGTATCAATGATTCTATCAAACCTCAGAGTACTTGACAATATAGAATCTTGATTAAAAATTGTCACAAATTGTACATAATTTATAAATTGAGATATGTTACTATTAAGAAAACCCAGAAACTGAGTTGTTGCAATGTGGCGTAATCCGCACCTCTTGCCATTATCTGTTACATTTTTTTACTTACAAGATTTATCGCTAGTTGCAGGAAACCTAATTAAAGTATTAAACTACGCTAATTCATCTGATATCTCTGATCTAATCTAACTGCCCACTTTCTTTCTTTTATTACTTCATATTTTCAATTTTTAAGTAGAGATAGACAATTTTAATTCACTATACTAATATGTATAAATCCACCTTGTATAGATCAAGTTTTTTAGGTAATAACAAGTAATGGATTGCGCGCGATAGGTCTTAAAATTTTAAATCCGCAATTAGTTGGGTTGGACCCGAGATTTATATACAAAACTCACATAGAACTTCACTCAACCCACCATGTTATTTTTATATATTTATATATGTATAATTAATAGTAAAATAATAATTACTAGTATATAGTGCTAACTACTATGAAGTGTGATTACTTCTGTTATCATTTCAAATGGATGGTCACAGGATCGAACCCGGTGGTGGATGTAAAGTATAGATCGGATAAACACTATCTTGTAAAGAATCATGAGTGTTACAAAAAATAAAATAAAATAAAATTACTAATATATAGTTAAATCTTATAATATTTTTAGTATTTTGTGTTTTAATAGAACTAGTAAGCTCTATTATGCTTTCAAAAAAGTAAGCTTTATTATGGATTGTTGCGCCATTAATGCAATCCAACTATGAGCTTAGACTTTTAGTTGAGATGGAGCACATGCTTCAATTTGGTATCAGAACCAGACAAAGGTCAGTGCCCACGTATTGCTTGGAACAGATAATAAATGTTATCACCCCGGCCAACCTATTGCCATCTCTATTTTCAGTTAGTGCTTAACATGGCTGTGCTTCTTTTACTCTCTTTAATGCCAACTAGTGCTCCATTTCTTGATGATTGAAAGTGAGTACTGTGCTCTCCTCTGCCATACATTTCCTCAGCTCCTCATATCCTTTTGTGCTTGGGTTTACATGAAAAGACAAAGTGCAACGTATACTTTTAAGTTTTAGTGCCACAAAAAAGGCACACACTAATGTTGTGTTATTGGAATCCTTATTACCTTCCAACAAAAAGCAATTGGCACATCAAGACAGCGACCCCGTCCTTTTATTCTTTTCATCAATTTATAGTATTAGTGTTATTCAATTAAACTTGGAGATCTTAGCATAATAAATTGACATGAAAATTGAGAAGCTAAATCTTACCTCAATATAGTATTTGTTTATATTTACTCTTTCATATCGCCTTCAGTGAGCTGAGATTTGCACCCATGACTTTTCATTATGAAAGTCAATTCGTGCCACTAGACCACAATGTCATTCTGCTATTGTTTAATAATCTATAAATCACACAAATAAATCATACTAAGAAAATCTTATACCCGGGTTACGTTGTACGGAGGGTTTTCACCTTTTCTCTTAGTGGTGGGGGAGGATTAGTTAGGTGATAATCTTGTGTAATTTTCACGCCAGCCAGCACATTTGTGCTGTAGCTATTAGAGGATATAAGCTCACATGATCAAGATCTTTCACTTCTGGTCTGACTTTTTAGTTCTTCCATTTTTATTTTTTTCTAATCCTCAACCGAAGCGTGTAATCGACTCAAATCTTTGCTGTTGGCACTCAACACCGACAATTCGGACTGGTTGACCTTTTCCACCAAAGGAATGATATATGAATCTATGAAGACATTAAGAAACAGACAAACATGATAATGAGATCAAGTTTAATAATTTTTTTGGGTGACAAATGAAACAACATATTTTATTCAAGGGTGTGCAGTGTCTAAACTCCGTTTTTGTGTAATAGCTCGCAAATTACACAGTAGAATTAATAATCAAATTCGTGATTTTTTGATAAGAGAATCATACTCCACTCACTCGCTGTCTGTTGACCACTTCTTTCGTGGCGGGTTTTATAGTTTTGTTTATATACCAAGAGTGTCTTCTTGAGTGTTTGTTCATGTGAATTATTGGGTGTCTGAAAAATTCCATTTTGGAAGAAATTTCAAGAGCCAATTATAAACACACATGGACTTCAAGATTCCAAATGATTGAGCCATCAGCATGACCCTGCAAGATTCTGTGCTATTTTTACTTGAAATTCATCCCTTCATCAGCATGGCATCCTCAGATTCTTTATCATCACTACACGTTTGACTTTTTGTCAGATTAATCTGATTGGGTAGCAAATTTTACTCTTACAACAACTTGTGACGGTTGTTAAAGAGTTCTGAATTAAACTTAGTAAGAGTCTGATCTAAGCGGAATCGAGTGGGAAGTGAGAACAAGTTCAGTATTATTGACCAGTAAAAAGAGCATCCAAAGGTCAGCCCTTTACACTACCAGAATTGGCGGCCAAAAGTGACAATCATCATTTAGCAATCTATCAAAGATAATCAAATAAAAACACCATTCTTTGGAAAAATAAAGGAAAGGAAAAGTGGTTGGGCCTTGTGACCATATTGACCTTAGGTATATTAGTATTAAAATAGAATGACCTACTGTGATGGATGCTTCTTATTCCTTTCACTGCCCCCATACCAACAAGCACTTTCTCTGCTCACATTGACTTATATGCACTACAACTTCTGCTCTTCATCTCTCATTCCTGAGTTGATTGTAGTCTTTGGAGCCATTTTTGCTTCAATTATCTTCCCAAACCATGCAAAACTGTTGTGACCTTGAAGTAGACGTTAACGGGGAAGAAACATTCTTGGTGGACAAGGTAAAAACTTGCTTTCCCATTATCTAAATACTGTTCATTCTTGGAGATGTTCTTGTTCATATTTGATTGATCCTTTTTTGTGTTTTTGGTTCTGCAGAATGTTCTTGCCTCTTTCTCAGGCAGGTTGAGTAAACTATTCAGTAAAGTGAGAGGGGAAACAAGGAGGATGAAGGTGGTGTTCAATGATTTTCCTGGTGGTCCAGAGGGCTTTGAACTTATTGCCAAGTTTTGCTACAATGGAGGCTGTGTTGACTTAGCTCCTTCCAACATGTTTCTACTGCATTCTGCTGCAAATTATATGGAGATAAGTAGAGGAATCCATGGAACCCACAGTTTAACAAAGGGGTTTTTTAGGAGCATTCAAAGTCTGAACTGGTGTGAGCTAGTATCTGGCTTGAAGAAATGCCAAGAATTGCCCTCTTTCTTGATCTCTCCATCTGTGCTTCAGAACTTCCTGGATTGCCTTGTTTCCCGGCTTTCGATACCTTGCGTTTCTAGCCCTCGCACACCATGTTCGGACAATTCCAGCGTACTGTTTTCTGGAGACATCAGTGTAGACAGCTCCAGGAGCTATGCCTCTCAGACAAAATGGTGGTTTCAAGACCTTAAATTTCTCAACATTGACATGTTGGAAAAGGTTGTCAGAACCATGGTTTCGCACAAGTTAGATCAAACGATGGTGTCTTCGTTCCTCTCCTATTACAAGAACATGAATTTCCTCTCTGCTACATCAGTTCAGAAGAATAGAATCATTGACACCATTATCAACTTGCTCTCTCTGCTTGACAGAAGCTTTGTTTCTGTCAGAGGACTATTTGACATTCTTCAAGCGTCGCGTTCTTTAAAGACGAGCAAGTGCTGCACTGAGAAATTGGAAGTTTTGATCGGTTCCCAGCTCGACCGAGCTACCATAGATGATCTGCTCATCCCTTCTCAACCCGGGAAAAGATATGCATACGATGTTAGTCTAATCCTTAAGCTTCTGAAAACATTCCTGCGCGAAAACAGCAGGCATTTTTTCAGTTACAGTTTAAAGAAAGTTGCCAGCTTGATTGATCTCTACATCATGGAAGTGGCTCCTGACCAGTTTCTTCAACCTTCAAAGTTTATGGCTTTAGCTACTGCACTGCCAGACACTGCAAGAGACTCATATGAAATCCTCTATGAAGCCATTGATGTCTATTTCAAGGTAATTGAACTTGGTCATCTTGTAACTTCCCAGAAGCGTTTTGCTATGAAATCTGAGATGTTAATTTGAGGTTTTCTTTGACAGGTCCATAAAGGTTTAAGTGCAAAAGAAAAGATAAAAATCAGCTGTGCACTGAACTATGACAAGCTCTCAGACCAAACTCTGATGGATCTAAGTCACAATGAAAATTTCCCAGTTTGTGCTTCAGTTACTGCTCTGGTCACCAACCAATCCAAGCTCAGAATCAAGCATAATGCCATAGAACATCTCAGCAATCTTACTGATGGATCGTCGAGGCGTGGGGGCAAGAAACTTGATGATTTGCATAGAAAAGGGAAGAAGCTTAGCAGACCAAATGTGCAGAATAGCAGGAAATTGCAGATCAATGTGTCAAACAACTTTGCATCCATGCACAGACTCTGTGCTTAGTCTAGATCACTACTTTCTTTCCATTCCATTTCTCAAAGAAATGTACAGTTTTAGGTGTAAAAATCCAGTCTTTTTTGAGTGTAAACTCTGGGTTCTTGGCTTCTTGCCATTGTTTCTAACACTGCAAGTTTTCAAGGCTCCTTCTCAGACCAATTGCATGTTTGGTTCAAATTTATTAGACCATTGTTCAAACAACATAACAAACTAATGCATTAGAATCTTGGGCACTCCCAACCAAGTTGGTTTGTTGGCTTGGTAACAGTAGGGCTTAAAGTTTGACTCTCAATAGGAGCAGTCTATTGGTCTTCTTGGTTTGAGCTAGTCAGATATGGACAACCTAGACCTTTTCTGGCTAGGGTCAGAATGTGGAGTTTGTCCAATGCATACTCTTGGATAATAGCTTTGGAATTTTCTTGTCATCTGATTTGCAACTCATACTGGTTTACCTCCTTATAATCTTTTATCAGTTTAAATAATGCACACTATTTGATAATAACGATGGGTTTTCCTTGTCATCCAAATTTAGTAGCATCTTAGTACTCTAATGAATACTCATGATCTTTGTCTTTATTTAATCCAATTAAACAGCCATAAAATGGATGCTTCTGAAGAATATCTGTACTGAGCTTCGAGCCCAGTCATCGCTAAAATACAAAGCCCTAACAGCGACTAATGCGGCTAATAACATGCAAGAATTTGTGGGTTTCCGACATACATAACCGCATTGTAATCTGTTAAGGTGAGAAGTTCGAAGCATTTTAGAAGCTCCATTAGGAAGAACAGAAATTTCCATTGTCATTACTTTTACTATTACAAGCTCCAGATCGAATATCAAGAAATGGAGGTTGACCAAAATCCTGCATGCACTGTTTTCAATGTTACATGTCTTCTTGGGGGGATTGAGAAATTAAATGGCAAGCGAACAAACTTCAAACCAAACATCGTAGATAGCATCCGATGCATCTTTGTTTTGTTTGGTTCTATCAAAGTTCGACATTTCTTACTAACATTGCAATTTTGATAACTGTGATTTGCATTTAATGGCTAATTACCATGCCCCAAATAACAAAAATATAGTAAATCTTGCCCTATGAGGATGACTAAGTGAGTGAAGCATGATTATGGTATAAGAAACTTAAAAAGTTACAAGTTTGATTATTATGAACAGTTAACACTCAGTCAATTATTTTTTGAAATTTATTTTTCTTATGTGATTCGTATATTATAGATTGTGGTTAAACCCGTCCGTTTTGTAACCCTAACAAGGAAATGATCCTAACTTAGGTTGATTGTAACCGACCGACTTGAACTGAGAAGGTTAATAGACAGCTCTCAATTACCAAGCTAGGTCACTACTCGAGGGTGTGCACGAGATAAACTCACCTTGTATCTTTAGCAGACAAAAGACGAGTTTTTTGCACTTTTGGTCCCACGACTATAGTGACACTATCAGAATTGATCCATGACTTTCCGACCTTGCAATTTTAGTCCACGACTATTGTTTTTTTGGCAAAAATGGTCATTCCGACCACTTTTCCGTCAAAATTTCACCGGGGTAAAATTTCTTCATTTTTAGGAAGACTAAAGTTGACATGTTTAAGAGGCTTGTATTACTGATTGTTTGCTGCCATATTTTGCAATAAAGAATTGTTTTTTTATCTAGGAAGGATTGTTAAGGGAAATGTCAAATTTAAACCTCTTAAAAATGAAGAAATGTTACTCCGGTGGAATTTTGACGGAAAAGTGGCCGGAAAGACCATTTTTCCCAAAAAAAAAAAAAAAAAAAAAAAACAATAGTCGTAGACTAAAATTGCAAGGTCTGAAAGTCGTGGATCAATTCTGATAGTGCCACTATAGTCGTGGGACCAAAAGTGCAAAAAACTCGACAAAAGACTTATCTATAACTATTGTATAGGAGGAGTCTTTTATGTTAGGTGTTCCTATAGGTCTCTATTGTTATAACTAACTTAGCTCAGATTATCGATCAATTCTGAACTGGTAACTCTCATCCAAACCATGAAGACCAATAGGCATTGAGAGAAATATAAAATATTGTTATTATCAAACTAATATCTTAACTAATTTGGTTGAGTTGCCCTCGACCCATTTACTATTTGCTATACGAAAAAAAAAAAAAAAAATCAACCACATTAGTGTTTTTTTGTTTTCCCAAACAAAAAACTTGCGGTGGGTTTTTGTACTAATGGGAAGGGTGGTTATTTATTTATTTATTTATTTTGTGTGTGTGATTATTTTCTTTCAAAATACAGAGTAAGTTTTTTGTAGGCTCCATTAATGGAGAAAAAACGGAGAAAGCAACTTGCAGGTGCATGTTGTGCCGCATGCACTAGCTAAGCGCGTAAATAACAAATTATTTATTTATCTTTTTTTACTTTTTGTTGTAAGCCTTTGTTTCCCTTATTTTCCCGCTTTTTTTCATTGTTGTAAAAATCGTGCCTAGGCTTTGGTCGACCGCTAAGCGTATCACCATAATCGTTGGTCTAGACGCCACTTAGGCCACCTAAGTCGGCTAATCAGTTGATTAGCTATTGTTTTTTTTTTTTTTTGTTTAAATGCATTATTTCACCCAAAACGACTTCGTTTTGAGCGAAATAACCCTAAATCGTTCAAACCATATATTATTTTTGTATTAACTATTAAAATATTAAATAGTTTATAATTATTAAGTCTTTAAAAAATTTTAAAAAATAAAAAATTATACAAATTTTTAAAAAATAAAAATAAAAAAATCAAATAAAAAATACACGTATGTCTAGCGATTTTTTCAACCATATTTTTCCCTTCTTCCATCTCCTCGCTCTTTCCTATATGTACTTAACAAAAACCAACCTAAAAGCCAAACAATCGAGGTTGCTCTAATGTTTCTATAGTTTTTATTTAAGTTTTCATCGTCACGTATGAAAAAGATTTGTGTGTATTTAGTTCGCACGAGTTTAAATCACTGATTTAGTATGCAGTTTTTGAAGGAAGAAGATTTGTGTGTATTTAATATTATTTAAAGGGAAAATTGTATTTTTCGTCCCTAAGTTATAGGGTAATTGTAGAATTCGTCCCTGAGTTTTGGTCATGCTCAATTTTCGTCCCTAAGTTATCATTGGTGTTGCACTTTTCGTCCCTGAGTTATAGAGTAATTGTAGAATTTGTCCCCGAGTGTTGTTTATGCTCACTTTGCGTCCCTAAGTTATCATTTGCGTTGCACTTTTCGTCCCTGAGTTATACAAAAATTGCAATTTTCGTCCCTAATCACTATTACATAAATGGTATACTATGTCACTTAATAGACGGATGTTTTTTAGATAACCACCGTCTTATATATTTTGTTATACTACGTCATTTAATAGACAATGAGTTTTTAAATAACCGCCGTATATAACTTAATTAAATTTTTTTTACACATACACGACAGTTTTCGAAGTGTTGCGCGTGTAAGTGACTGCCGTTGTAAATATACACTTTCTATGACGGTTTTGGAAATCGTCGTGTATGTTAACTATATATGGTGGTTAAAAAACTGCCGTGTATGTCAACTATATAGGTAGTTATTTAAACAACCGTCGTCTATTAAGTGACGTAGTATAAGTGTATAACACAATATATTAGACAACGGTTATTTAAAAAGTGATGTAGTATATCATTTATGTAGTAGTGATTATGGGCGAAATTTGCAATTTTAGTATAACTCAGGGACGAAAAGTGCAACGTCAATGATAACTTAGGGACGGAAAGTGAACATGACCAACACTTAGGGACGAATCCTACAATTACCTTATAACTTAGGGCCGAAAAGTGCAACGCCAATGATAACTTAGGGACAAAAAGTGAGCATGACCAACACTTAGGGACGAATTCTACAATTACCCTATAACTTAGGGATGAAAAGTGCAATTTTCCCTTATTTAAATTTAAATTTAAATAGGAATAAGAATATATGTCAGGTGGTCCACTGAAAACCCGGCCCATGTTTTCCGGATTCGGCTCCAAAATTGGGCTAGGAATTTGAGTGATCAGAAAAACCCAAATTGAGCGTAAAAAAACCCCAAATTGTAAATTCAAGCCCAAAATCCTTTATTTTTTAATTGTTTTTTTAAAATTTAATCGCAGTCTTCGCAGATCATCTGTACGGCGTCGTTTTATGTTCTTTTCACTTTTCAGAAGTCATCAATGCGAAGCTTCAATACGGCAAAAGACCTCATAGATTACAGTTTACAGAGTCAGCGAAGCTTTCCGGTTGAATCTGGGGACGGAAATCTCTGTTTTGTTTCCGGAGAGAAAAGCAAGTAATAAAGATGTTGGAGAAGATCGGTTTGCCCTCGAAGCCATCACTGCGAGGCAATAATTGGGTAGTTGATGCCTCACATTGCCAAGGTTGTTCTTCACAGTTCACCTTCATCAATCGCAAGGTAGTCTGATTTCTTGTTGCAATCAACTCAATTCTTTTTCTTCTTTTTGTGACGATCATTACTGTTATCAAGCTCAGAGTTCTTTCTTGTATTCTTTAGTTGAAATTTGGTTCAAGGTCGCCAATTCATGGATTTGCTAAAGTTGGATTATGACTTCTCTGTGATCTTCTGCGTCTTTTTTTTTTTTTTTTTTTTTTTTTTTCCCTGATAGAACTTTGGATTTGGCTTTGAATTCTGTTGTCTTTTGATTTTATTTGATAAGCAATTCACGTTAAAGGCATGACTAAACTTGCTCATTTTTAACTTATTTAAGTAGGTCATGATTATTTGAATGTAGTGCTTTTCCAGAATTAATTTTCTGAGTAGTGTATTCAACTCAACTAAGTCTTGGTTGCAATATGGTTTGGGCTATAATTGCTGCATTTTCCATCTTGTTGGTGAATGGTGCCTGCCCTCCTGTCCCAGTGATTTTGTAAAAATGATGCTGGAGTGTTCGTTTTAAAATTGTTGTTGATAGTAGTCTTGTGGTTTCAGCATCATTGTCGCAGGTGTGGTGGCATATTTTGCAATAGTTGTACCCAGCAGAGGATGATATTACGTGGACAAGGTGATTCACCAGTTCGTATTTGTGCACCCTGCAAAACGTTAGAGGAAGCTGCACGGTTTGAAATGAGATATGGAAACAAAAGAGCAGGAAAAGGTATGTTTTAATGT